AAGAGCGTGGCTCCGTCTGAGCATTGCTGGACTCAGTGCCTTCCGGATGCTGGTGTTGAGGTGGTGGCTCTGGGAAGTAGCTGTTAGAGGCTGCAGCTCAGGCAGCTCCCTTCAGCCCGGGACCCCCTCCTGAGCCAGGACAGTCCCATCCTTGGTAGGCCTTTATTCCCACGACAGAAAAGTGTCCCCTAGGTGAGATGTGCTGAACTGTCTTCTGTGTCCTCACCCCATGGTGACACTGCTGGCCCCTGGCAGGAAAATATGAGCTAAGACTTGGTGTCCCAGTTGGGCACTGACGTGGGTTTGTGCTGCCCAGAGTGGTGGCCACTAGACTGTGTGGCTGCTTAAAATCGAACAAAGGGACCGACAGCAGTGCAGTGGTAAACGCGATGCCCCGCGAGGGTGACCCACACGGGAAAGGGTCTGGGTTCATATCCAGAGACCTCCGAGTCCTGCCTCGGCCTGGCCGAGGCTGGGAGTGGACGTGGTGTGAGAACCCCGTTGGGAGTGCCATCTCTCTGTCTCTCTGTATCTCTCACTCTCATACAAGAAATAAACTTGAAAAAGGAAGGAATAAAATGATGTAAAATTAAAAATTGAGTTGTTCTGTTGCACTGGCCAGAGTGCACGTGTTCTGTAGCCACCGTGGGTGACAGCCTCTGGCCTGGACAGCACGGACAGAGTGCTCCACTAGTGCCTGTGAGGCGTGGGGGCATGAGCCCAGCTTTGGAGCCAGGCAAGCTGGGTGATCTTGGCAAATATGGAGGGTGCCAGGGTCCACTTATGGGTGTTGGGAAGGTGAGACTAGGGCCTGGCTTGTAGGAGGTTCCGAAGAACAAATGCCCTTCCCTCCTGCAGCACCCCTGCCTGCTCCCCTGCACTGTCCCGTCTCCTTCCCTCGCGTTCTCTGCCGAGGGCTCAGGTGCAGGAAGTCCAAGTCTGTTTCTTGGCAACGGTAGCCCCTGCATCAGGTCGATCTAAGGCCTCGACCCTCTAGATTGCCATCAACAGTTTCCTTTTTATGAGCCTGGACTTGAAAAAGCAAAGGTCATGCTGGAATAACTTTAGGGGTACAGAGAAGTTGTGAAGGTAGTACCCAGAGTTCCACCTGCAGCTTCCTCCGCTTTCCCCACGGCTGGCATTGTTCCCGGCCCTGGTACAGTTGTCAACGCCGGGAGACCCGGGGTGGTGCACACCATCCACTGAATTCTGGCTTCCTGTGGCTTTTCACCAGTCTTGCCACCACATCCATTTTCTGCTCCAGGGGCCTACTCAGGATCCCACGTGCATCCAACTGTCAAGTCTCCTCTCTCTTGGTCTTTTCTTGGTCTCCGTGACCAGGGAGTGAAGGCAGGTGTTTTGTAGAATGTCCCTAGCCTAGCCCTGGGTCTGTCTGTGTCCTGGTCACCATTAGGCTGGGGCTTTGGATTTGGGTAGGAATTCCCAGGAGCAGAGGTGCCTTTCCCATGATGTCGTATCGAGGGCGGGACCTCCCCTAGGTGCCCACCTCCATCACCCAGCTGAGGGGCCAAGGTTTGCCAGGGTCCTCTGCTGTTTCTCCACTGCCTGTCTGCTCTTGGAGTGCGCTCACTGGGTCCAGCCCATCTTTAAGAGTGTGTGAGGGGAGCCGAGCTCTGCCTCCCACGTGTGATCTTTTGAAACTTCTCATGTCCTTTTCTCTTGCACGAGGCAGGATCCCCTGACCCTCATCTGCATGGGGAGGATGGAGACTCCCATGGCGTCTGCATGAAGGAACACAGTGCCCTGTGGGAAGTGCCAGGTCCCGCTGGGGACACATTGCTCCCATGCTTCCGTGAATAGCAGGCTGATCTTCGAGGGCTTTCTAGAGAGGAGACACTGAGAGGGGAGGTGGCTGATGGACAGCTGCCCAGCTGTGCCTCAGCCTACTCTAACCCATTGCACACCCTGCTTACCTGGGGAGGGACTGCCGGAGACTCCCAGGGGCTGCCGTCCCTTCCCTGGGGCTCACTGGCCTGTCTCCGTGCCGCAGGGTGCCGGCCGTGGTGAGCAATGGGGATGCCGTGGATGCAGCTTTCCCAGGGGTCCGGCGCTCTAGCTGGAAGAGGAAGAGCTCCCGTCGCAGTGAGTCTCCCGCCCCCTCAGCCCCGCCTGCTGGTCACCGTAGGTAGTGCCAGGACAGTGCCACGGGAATCTCCTCTAGGCCCAGGGTTGACAGGGGCTTTTGTGAACCAGGGGGCTGTCCTCATCAGGAGGGTGCTGGGGGCTGGCTGGCTGCTTTGAGGTGGACCGACCAGACCACGGTCGTGAGAACTGTGGCCCAGGCTAAGGTCACAGTCGTTCAGCCACTTCTCAAATCCACAGTCCTGCAGCGCCAGGCTAGGGCGGGCCAGGCACTGGGGACCTCATGACTGAGATGACGTCCCTCTGGGAGCAGAAGCACACAGAGGTTGGCAGGCGCCATGCAGTGGGTAGTGCCGGGTGAGCCCTGAAGACGGGTGGAGGAGCAGGAGTCAGGAGAGGGGTCCCAGCAGAGGGGTCAGCTTGTGCAGAAGCCTGAGGGCACAGGGACACCTGTCACCTGGGGAAGCAGGAGGCCATGCCTGGGACTCCAGAGCAATGGGGAGCCCCGAGGGAAGGCAGTGATGGCCGCGTGGTATTGTAGTCCCTCCACTCTGGGGGCCCTGGGGTTAGACAGCAAGGCCGGGGGTGGTGGGAGGGGGCAGCAGGGG